GCTTAGTTCGCTAGGTTAAGGCTATTTAGGCTTGAACGTGTGGTATTGCTTACGTCCGAGATTGATGGAACTTTTAATGTCTGGACTGTGGACTGTTTAATAAACCGCTTAGGCCCGCTGGAAGAAGTTGGCTTATGTTCGATATGAATTGGACTGTTTATGGACCACTTAGTTCGAACCTGAACATTGGTTTATGTCCAAAAATTAATGAACTGTTTATGGACCCGTTAAAGTTTGAACTGAGATTTGGTTATACCGATCTGATCGACTATTTATGGACTGATTAAGTTCTGAACTGGAGAATTGTTACTGTCCGAACTGATGGACTATTTAGGAACGCTTAAGTCCAAACTAAGAGGAAGTTTGTTATGTCCCGAACTGATGGCTGCTTAAATTCTGAAATTTTATTGAGGAATCGCTAAGTCCGAAATTATTGAGAACTGCCTTAAGTCCCGAAATTTTGAGGACTGATTTAAGTCCGTATTTATTGACATCCATTTGATTGTGCTCTGTGCTTTTATCATGAATAAAGAAGCTAATGAAAGTTTACAAGGCCAACAACCTAAATTAAGTAAAACTGGTTTGTCTATTGAATGGAGAAAATAAATAAATATAGTTTAACGTTGTTTGCATTTAAAGAAAATTTATTAAGTATACATAATCACAGTAATAAGACTAAAACCAAGAAAGAGATTTCAAATAAAATATTTATAAACTCTATTGGTAGCCATCATCCTTAAATTAGAGATTTTTTATTATAAGTATAAAAAAAGAATATTAATTATATGTAATCTGAATTAAATTTTGGTCCTTATTTTATAACATGAATAATATAACTCGATGCTTTTTTAATAATATAGTATAATGCATGGCTCCAAAATGAATAAATAATAAATTCTCACTAATGAATAAACATAAGTCAAAATGCAAGTATGAAAAATCAATTAATTGTCATAATAATAGCTATAAATCTCTTTTTAGCCATTCAAATGGATAATATTTTTTTTTTTTTTGGGTTAAATTTCAGCATTAATTTTTATTTTTATGATTCACATCCTAAAAAAATTTTAAATACTACCACGTAATCAACTATAGAAATATTGGTCTTCCTCTCTAAAAATAAACAACTTTGTTTGAGATCACAATGTGCATTTCAATTCAGAAATTATTGAAGGGAAAGAATTATCGCTATTTGCATATGGAAAATACTATTGTGTGAAAGCTCAAAGGCTGGAGTCACTTGTTTTGAAATGTTAAAATGGCAAGTAGATTAGGACGTTATGTAGAGTGAAAGCAATTAGTTCATACACTAAGCTATCTAAAACAACAACATGAAAAGTATTTCATATAATTAGGAATCACAACAAAACCCCAATTAGAAGCTTATTAGTATAAATACCTTAATCTCTATTTCCCTATTTAGCCATGATTATTAGGTTAATCGACTATTTATGACTTTTGCCTTTCTATTACATAAATTATAACATTCATAAATTTGGCCAATACAATATGAGCACTTTCTCAAAATATTAAACTGTATGATAGATAATCATTGTTTTTATTTGAGTTTTTTTTTTTTCAAATTATATGGTTATCACTACTCTCTAGATGTTGCTTTGTATTTCCTCTATTGTTTATTGATATTATTATTAGTACTCTGTAATTATGTTCTCTGCATGATAAATGGATTAAAGGCTATCTTGTGGTTTTGTAAATATAATTTTGCGCATAGCTAATGATTTACCTAAGAAGGCATTAGTTGGATTAAATCGTCTACTAATATGATGTTGGATACTGATCTCACAAAGGTACAAAACTTTTTTTATATCCTCCTGTCTGCCTTTTCAATTATTCACCTAAAATATGCAATTTGTCTTGCCTAATTTGTGCTCAATATGCTTAACAATATGAAGTTTCAAGTATTTCCTTTTTCCTATGGAGAATCTACTGCCTCTGAATGAATATAACCAGAGAACAATGGAAAAGGGATAAAAAGGAAAAAGAAAACAAACACAAGGAGAAAGAAAAAAGAAAAAATCGAAATTGAAAAGAATGACTTCACTAGTGCATAGAAAAACACAAATATCCATATTTGAAGTTTTAATATTAATTAAATCGTTCCTTATCCAAAAAGTGAAAATTATTTTCCCCCAAAAAAACCTTTTTTTCTTTTTAAACCCCTCTATCCCCCCAAAATTAGCCCCCCCCCCCCCCGGTTTTGCAACAGCATTCTCTTGGCGAGAAACATATCCCACTGCCTCGAGAATCCAAACCTCGTCCCCCTCTAAGCCCAAACCTTTTCTATCATATATACATTCTTTTAAAAATAAAAGGTAGCTCGTATTTATAAACATCAAAAAGGTATGGTTTCCAGACTCCATCCACTATTTGTTTAACATTGAAATTGAGGGTTGTGAGAAATTGGAGACTATCCTTGATTGGAATAAATTTGGGATATATTATACTGGGGTCAAGATTTAATATTCTTCTAGGATATTGTAGATCCTATATTATTTTGTTAATTATGAGTTCTTGAGTCTAATATCCTCAAATATATATGATAGTGGTATTTTTGATTAGTTTTTTTAATATAGTTCTTATTAGAAATTTTTTAGCATTTTTAATTACTTATTTAGTCTTTATTCCCAGTTTTATTTATGTTTTTTGTGTAAAGCCTTCCCTTGAATCATAATCCACTTGATTTTAAGGAAATTTGTAGGGTTTTTGGACACAGAAAAGAGCAAAAATAAAGTATAAAACAACTCAGGCTTCAGCACCTCCTGCCCGTTGTGCTTAATTATGGCACGCCTAGTGACCAAAAGAGGAACAATCAACACAAAGTGAGCTTACCTAAAGACGCCCAGTGCTGCCATTTCATCTTAGAGACTCAAGAGCCTATGCTAACGCCCTAGCCGTGCCTATTAGGCATGCCCGTGCCACAGATTCTTCTCTAGACAATGTCGCTGAGAAAACCTGTGCTGAACCTCCCTTAGAACTCAAGGCTTTGGCACGCCCCGGACATGTGCCCACAGGCACGGCCAATGCTTAACGAATTAAGGTGCCTGTGTTAAGTTCGAGAAACGCCAGCCAGTGCCTTCTATCAACTTGATGGGCCCACCTTAGATACTTTCCCGACATACAAATGAAGATCTAATCCTATTTAGGCATATGGAAAGGTCCTAATTGAGAAGAAATACAAAGCCTAAACATATTTCCCTATCTTAAAAAGATTTCTTACTTAATGGAAGGATCTAATTTCCTAAACGAGGTCGGATTTTCTTTCCCAGGAATTCTATATAAAGAGAGGACCAATTCATTGTATATTCCATCTCCCAGTTTGATTAAGCTTTTGTTCTATTGTTTTCCTCGTCTCTTTCCCAAAGACTTCAAGCGTTCAAAGATTTGTGCAGGATTCAAGGAAGTCGTCCCTAATTAATTATGACTAGTTTTTATTTTAAACTCTTAATCTTGTTTTACTTTTCCCATATATGTTCAACATTGAATTAATCGGAATTTATGAAGTATTATTGAGTTTTTTATTTAATTATTAATCGAACTAAACTCTCATACTAGGGATTTGATGTAAGCTTATATTTCTTTCCAATTTAATAATATTAGATTTGTTTTTGTTTGTTCAAAGTATATTTGTTATTAATCTTAATGCTTCTCAGGCAAAAATTTTCTCCCCTGGATTGATTTTTTTCATTAATACACTATCTGGGAGAAGGGTTTTTTGATAATGAAAAAGGTAAATAAATTACATAAGAATAATACTTGAATGTGGAAAGTTATGTTTTGCTCATGGGGATTTTCATAAGTAATAACCTTAGGTTTATGATTCACCAAAAAACAAACCATGAACTTAAAATGATTTAATTCATGTTTGTATTCAACTAATGAAGATAGGTATTAGACCAAGGTTAATAGCTAACAATATACTTGAGAGAGCTGTTAGTGAAATTTACCTATGCTTGACAATTAAATTGGATTACAGGAACTAATAAAATAAATTGTGGATAGAATACTAATAAAATAAATTGGATAGAATTAATTGAAGTCAAAATCCCTAGTAGCTTTTAATCCTTGATTCTTTTAATCAAAAATTGCCTTGCTTTCTTCTTACTCTCTTTTATTTACTGAAGTTAGTTTCTTAAAATAATTTCCCTAAATCGCTGTTTAAATAATAATATGTTAACATAATTTTGGTACTTGGTATACAATCCCTATGGATACGATACTCTTCTCATTCTCTATTACTTGTTGCGATTTCGTATACTTGCGAAAAATCACTGTCAAGTTTTTGGCGCCATTGATAGGGATTGGCATTATCAATATCAATACTAATTACCCTATTGTTAATGTAAACATTTATTTTTATTTTTATTTGATTTTTCTAGAAGATTATTTTAGGTGTTTATGCAAAGAAGATAAGGTAGGACTGAACCATTGATCTTTAATCCAGAAATCGAAAAGACTTGTCATAGGAACAAGAAATCGAAAAGACTTGTCATAGGAACAACGCTACTAGAAGAGTACGTGAGAGCAAACTAGAACAGTAAGTGAAGATGGACGATAACCCTCAGGACGGACCTCAACCTCATGTCCGCACGTTGCTGGATTACACAACACCTTCTCTTAATGGAACAACCTTGAGTATCACTAGACCTAGGGTGGAAGCTAACAATTTTGAAATTAAACTTGTGATTTTCCAAATGCTTTCCACCTCAATTCAATATGGAGGTTTACCTAGTGAAGATCCTAATGCCCATATTTACCTAGTGAAGATCCTAATGCCCATATCACAAATTTCTTAGAGATCTATGATACTTTCAAACAAATTGGAGTTTCTGAGGATGCTATAAAATTAAGACTCTTTCCTTTCACTCTTAGGGACAAAGTACGATCCTAGTTACAATGATGCCCTGCTGGAAGTTTTACAACATGGGAAGAATTAACATTAAAAATTTTTAGCAAAATTCTTTCCATCTTCAAAGACCACAAAACTGCGCAATGAGATAATGACTTTTGTCCACCATGATCAAGACAGTTTCTACGAAGCTTGGGAGAGATTCAAAGATTTATTGAGAAAGTGCCCACATCACAACTTGCCTAAGTGGTTATAGGTTCAAACTTTCTATAATGCATTATCTCCTAACATTAAGATTACTCTAGATGCAGCTGCAGATGGATCTTTTGAACAAAAAGAAATTGATGAGGCATATGACTTGATAGAAGAGATGGCAAGCAATAGCCATTATCAAAGCAACTCCGAAAGGAAGAAGCCATATCAAAGCAACTCCGAAAGAAGAGCAGACTGAGGAGTTTATTGAAATTGTGCCATCAGACCGCACTCAATGCCGAAGGTCAGACAACATGGGTAAGGAAGTCTGAACTTATTGACTACTAACCTCGGTTTAATCTATTGTGCAAGATTGTTGACAGGTGTAAAGGACAACATGGGAATTAGAGAAATGCATGGTTAGATCTTTAAAACCACAAACTTTAGAACAAGTAAACTTTGGAACAAGTAAACTATGTGATGAATCAAGGAAGGAAGAATTACCCATACTCTAACTCTTATGATAACAGGTTGAGGAATCACCCTAATCTTTCGAATGGGAATCCAAACAATGCCTTGAACGCACCACCAGGTTTTCTACCTCAATAGAAAAAGTCTCATGATGATCTCCTCACTGCCCTCTCTAAATCGCATATGAACTTCATAAATGAAATGTGAGAAAACAACAAAATCCAACAAGCTATGTGATACGGATCCATCATCACTCATCGCTAGTCCAAATCACACAAGAGCATCATGATGAAGCATTTAACAAGTGTTTTGTGGAACTTGAAGACATTCCTAGGCTTCTAATGTTATTGGTGGCATGTGAAGTTGAAATGGAGGAAAGCACGCCTGCTACAGTGCCCGTGCCAATTGGTTTGACTTTGCTACAGTAAATTTGACTCTGCTACAGTACTTTTGACTCTGCTACAGTTGAAGTTGAATCTGCTACAGTGGCACACGCTGGTGCAACTCGCGAGCGTGACTTTGATCTGCGCGAGCGCGAGAAGTGCAAAGGAGAGGCAGAAGGTTAGGCAGCGTAACTCGCGAGCGCGAACTTCACATACGCGAGCGCGACCCACACTCGCGAGCGCGAATCTACACTGCGCGAGCGCGAGAAGCGCAAACGAGAGGCAGACCACATCTCGCGAGCGCGACTCTACCGTGCGCGAGCGCGAGAAGCGCAAAGGAGAGGCAGAGAGTTAGGCAGCGCGCGAAGCACGAGAAGCGCAACTCGCGGGGCAGAAGAGCTAGTTAGCAAATTAAAGTCGCGAGAAGCGAACCTACAACTGTTCGCGAAAGCGCGACTCATGCCTCTTTTATGTTTCATGCTTTCATTTGGTTATCTTTTGTAACCTAATATGTTTTAGGTTTTAGTAATAAAATGACTCTCATCTTCATTGAAACACAAACTCTTGAAGATATTATAAACTCAATTTGTATTCAACGCTTTGCTTGTTCTCGCTTGCTTAGAAAGTGATAGTGAGAAATTGCTTCCTCTAAATTGCATTAAGAATTAAGGTAAGAACTACAATTCGTTGTGGCGTTTATCTTGTTCTTTGCTCGATTATTGGTGTTACCGTTCACTATAAACGTGGGGGTGCCATAGAGCGATTAAATCTCAATTAGTGGTGTTTTCCGTTTCAAAATAAACGTGGGGTGCCAATAGAGGCGAACTTAATATCCCATTCCTTTGATTTCCGAATGCCGAGATCTTATCATTGGTATCAGAGCCACAATAAAGTTTTGGGGTAAGTTCTGTTATGTTATCTTAGTTAGGAGTTTGAGTTTTCTAGTTGTTGGATTTCTTTAGATATTATCTTAGTTCTTGCTTTCATTCTTAGATCTATACTTTTCCTCTTTATGTGTTCTTGGATCTGAGATCTTCTCTTTAGATCATCTTGGATCTGGAAATTCTTTTGTTTGATCTTCTTAGATCTGATTTTTTTTTTCTCTTTGGATCTTCTTATTGTTTACATCATTTTCTAGTTATCCTTTTGAATCATTCAAGATCTAGCTTTGAATCTTCTTGTTGTTTGCTTGTTTCTTGATTAAAAAAAAAAAAAAAAAAAAAAAAAAGATCCAGACTTGCAGCCTTTTAGATCTTATTAAATTAGATCTTACAAAAAAAAAAAAAAAAGAAAAAAAAAAAAAAAGTCATTGTTAAAGAGATATAAGTCAGAATTTGTCTTTAATTGACTTAAATTGGGATCCTATCTTGAGAGAACAAAAATCATTGCTGGAAAGGTTGATGCCTTTACTTGGACCGACTATAATACATTTATATACACAAGCATGCAATTTTATAGTTCAAGATAATCAACCTGTGACTTTAAGTAAATCTGGTTATCACTACCCGTGCTCGGGTCTGACCCTAGTAAGAAAATTGTTTTCTTTTGGATTTCTTTGATTGCTTGCTTTGTTTTGGGTAGAATTAATTAGGTCCATATTTGGTTTGCTTTGCAGTAAACTAAATTCATACATTATATCCTGAAATTGTCTTTTAAATTCTAGTTTCTTTATTTTTGTGTGAGCTTTCTATTGCTTCTATTACATAGTTAGGGTGTGTTTGCTTGTTTACTACACTCTAATTGATAATTACAGTAGTGCATTATTTATATTCTTGTGCTACTATCCATTTCGTTTTGAGTCTTCTTCTAGAATTTGTGCTTGCTTTCATTGTTAAGTTTTATTCCTTGATTGTAAACGTACTTTTGAGTTGATTGGTTGAACTAAGATTCTGAACTTTCGAATTGGTTGGTTAATCTACGATTCTGAAGTACAATCGGAGGAATTGCAAGGAGTGATTGAGGAGTATAAACACGTGAGGGAGTGCTTTATCAATAACTCAAATCTTTTTCGTGTTTTCTATTCTTGAATACTAACCATGAGTACAGGCACATCTGGAGATGGTAACGGAGATGGAAATCCAATTAGAGATCCTCAACTAAAATTGTTCATGGAATCTATCTAAGGACAATTTAGAACCTTTAATAATCTCTTTCAAGACATGAGGGAAGAATTGCAAGAGATGAAGGCTTCACAAAGTTCTAATGCCACTAGGGCCCGTCCCCAAGTTAGAATTCAAACCCATGATTGATGGAGACTTGGGAGCAATCAAAATGAGGATCCCAGAATTCAATGGCAACAACAATGCTGAAGAATACCTTGAATGGGAGAGAAAGGTAGAACAAATCCTTGAATGCCATAATTATTCCCAGGAGAAGAAATCCCATCTTGCAGCTGTGGAGTTCAAAGGATATGCTATGTTTTGGTGGGAACAATTTCTACTAAAAAGAAGAAGTAGGGGGATGCGACCGGTACCACCATGGGAGATCATGAAGGAATTAATGCACCAACAGTTTGTCCCTGCTCATTACTTTAGGGATTTACACAACAAACTAGCAAGAATGGTGCAAGGAGGGAGGAGCGTGGAAGAGTACTATAAGGAGATGGAGATTTGTATGGCACCGAAGCCAAAAATGAGAAGATGTACAAATCACCCATGTCACGAAAATCACCATGTCACGATTCCTTGGAGGTCTAAATAGCTATATTGCTGATGCTTTGGAGATGTATCGCTATGATACACTAGAAGAGATGATAGATATGGCCATGAAGCTAGAAAGGCAGAACAAGGGAAAGTCTACCAACAAATATTCCAACAATACTTTGGAAACCAAATGGTCCAAAGGAGGAGAGAAGAGAGATTTCAAAGGTCCTAGTTTCCAAAGAACTGAATCAGTTTCGAAAGGTAAAGAGGTTGCCCAAACTACATTCAAAGGAAACAAAGGTACTTCTAACTCTATAAACCCTGCTAGAGATTAAATGCTTTAAGTGTTTAGGAAAAGGGCATATTGCATCTCAATGTCCTAATAAAAGGGTTATGATTGTTAGGGAAGATGGAAATGTTAATTCTGAATCCGAATGTAGTGATTGTGATAATATGCCTCATTTGCATGATGTTGATAATGATAATTCAGATGAGGATGAGCATAACTTGTTGTTTGCTGAACGTGGAGAATCTCTAGTTGTTAGGCGTTAGGACCGAGTTTTGAATAATGGCATGTTAAGGAGGAGAGCCTTGAAACAAGTGAGAAAATATTTCACACTAGATGTATACATGGGGAAAGTGTGCTTGCTTTTTTATTATTGATGGGGGTAGTGTTGCACTAATGTTGCTAGTGTGAGTATGGTGAATAAGTTGAATTTGACATGTCTTAAACATCCTAAACCTTATAGATTGCAATGGTTGAATGATGGTGGAGAGGTGAAGGTGACAACGCCAGGTGCTTGTGCCGTTTTCTATTGGATGGTACAAAGATGAAATTTTGTGTGATGTAGTACCAATGCAGGCAGGCCATCTATTGTTGGGAAGGCCATAGCAATATGATCGAAAGGCACTACATGATGGGTTCTTTGATCGATACTCTTTGGTTCATAAGGGGAAGAAGGTGACTCTTGCTCCATTATCACCTCAAGAAGTGTACACCGATCAGAAGAAAATACTTGAGAGAGAGAGAGAGACTTCAGCTTTGAGGGAAGATGGGAGTGAGGCTTCCAGTTCGAGAGAACAAAAGAGTGTTAAAAGAGAGGTTGAAAAGAAAGAGGGATTACCCAAAGAGATTACTGGCCCAAAAAGTGAATGCAACACAAAGAGGGGAGAGAAAGGGAAACACCACTTTATGCGAAGAGCTAGAAGGTTAAAGTGTTGGGCCATAGCCTTGAGGCAACAGCCCATGTTGCTTCTTAGGTTCAAGGAGGTTTTATTTTCTAATGCTGACATTAACCTTAATAGTTTGCCTTCCGTGTTTGTTTCTGTGTTGCAGGAATTTCTGATGTCATTCCTAATGAGTTACCTAGTGATTCGCCACCTTTAAGAGGAATAGAACATCAAATTGACTTCATTCCTGCCTTCACCATTCCAAATAGACCGATCTATAGAAGCAATCCAACGGAGACAAAGGAGTTGCAAAGGCATATTCAAGTTCTAGCAACCAATGGAGTTCAATATGGTCTAAAAAGGAGAACAAGAGTACAGGAAA